AAAAAATGCTCACACTCCAAATAAACACAGATAAGTGTTTTTGAAGAACTAATTTTCGAGGTATTGCTATGTATAATTGCCAAAATTGGGTTTTGCATTGCTCATAGCTTTTACCAAAGAACATTAATTGCTTTTTAGCTGTTCAAAAACATTTATTTGCGTTTCTTTTGAATGTGAGCATTCCGTGAAATTAGTACACTCAATATGATGTTAGTCGTGCACTTCCAAGTTGGATTTTAAAGCAAATTATGCATCAAAACCCCGGTTACATCACATTTTTAACCTTTCATAACTTCTTCCAGATAACGTTGTCGCAGATATGGAAGGTAGATTTGGAATCAGCTCATCAAGACGCATCTAATGGTATGCGGTTTATTCCAATTCGCCACCTTAAGTTGGGATCGTTCCCTTGTAAGAAGACTTGGCAATTCTAGAGTGTATATGAGAAAAAGTAGCGGTGATAGTACCGCTCCTTGGGGTACGCCGCTTGAGCAACAGTATGCATCCGAATATGCATCACGAACCTTGACAGTCATGAAGCGGTTTTGTAGATAAGATGTAAGCCACGACAACAGTGCACCACTGATCCCTATCATTTTGAGCTTTACAAGTAACTTTGCATGGCTAACTTTATCAAAGGCCTTCGAAAGATCGATGTAGAGCACATCTATTTCTTGCTTTTGATTCAAAGCTAGACTTCAATCATAAACGCAGTCAAATAGGTTGGTTGTTGTAGAGGCACCATCAATGAAACCGTGCTGCTCTGGAGGGATAAGGTTGTTTTTGTTAAGCCAGGACAATAACTTCTCTCTGATGATTCGCTCCATTACTTTACCAGGTGCTGGTGACAAGCTGATAGGACGGAAGTCACTTAGCAGCTTAGCTCCTTGGGTTTTTGGAATAGCTCTCACCAGCGCATGCTTCCAAAGCTCTGGCATCTCACCAAGCAACATGGAGATATTGAACAAATGCGCCAATGGGGCAGCCAAAGATGATGCACATTTTTTATAAAAAAGTGGGGGAATACCGTCATAAATCTCTGTAGTGGACGGCTTCAAACGTTTCAAATAGCTGAACACCATAGACGGTTTAAAATATACATTGGAACAACTACCGTGAACAGTGTGCAGACCATCAGTAGAATAATTCTCAGAGCTGTTATCTGCGGTAAAAACACTTGAGAAGTAAGCACCAAGCGCTTTAGCTTTATCAGCATCACTGTAAAACAAGGTTCCTGATCTTCAAGCGTTGGCAGATTCACGTTGGGTTTCAACCTTGCTTTCAAATACATGAAAAGACCTCTAGATGAAGCTTTAGATGCAAGCCGACGTTCACGATTAGCTACGAATTTCTTCACATGATGGTCAATATCTGAGCACACCTTTTTGTACAGGTGATTATAAAGAGGGTCTCGCATTTCATCAAAAAGTCTGCATTTCTGCATATTAAGGGCTCTTATATGCGAAGGAAAGTGTGTCGAGCCAACATTGGGCAGTCTCATGGGAACGAACTTGCCAAATGCTGAATAGACCACTTCACAAAATCGCTTATACACGTCTGAACAAGAATCATACTGGTCAAACAAAAAGAACCAATCAATGCATGAGATATAGTCGTTCAGTGCGGTATAATCGACACGGTGAAAGTCAGGCAGTGGAAGCATGCGTGAAAATTGGCATTAGAGACTTTAAAGCAAACTATTCCATGATCTGAGGATCCTAACGGTGGTAAAACATGTACGTTGACTATATCAACAACAGAGGAGAGAACAAGATCAAGGGTGCGTTGTTCATGTGTAGGATAAGAAACGTACTGATGGAGACCACAATCATCAAAGTACTTCAAAAAAAGAGTAGGGGCATGATTTGTCGCTTTCTTGGTAATCCAATCTATCTGCAAATTAAAGAATTATTGTTTCGTCTTGCTCAGTCGCAAACGCATACGTAGCCACAGTCCCTATCAACTTTTCATCATCATTCATACCTGAATTTGGTGGGCGGTATATCGCGATGAATCGCAAACGCGTGAGCCTACATGGATGATAAATGTTCAAAACGAGAATATCTGATAACATTCTTTGAGTCTGAATGTTAGTGTATGCCAGTCAAGTCTTATGGGACAGTCTGGACGACAATTCATACTGCGTACATATTTTTGAACGCAAAGAAGAAAGTCATTAGACGTGTTCATTGAGCCTTTTCCGCAGTAAGGATTCTTTTAAAAGGTTAATTCGTTTGTACGGGGTAGTCGGCCGTTCCGCTCTTGTCCGAAACTTCAGTGCGGAATTTCTACCCCTCCACAAGAAGTCTTGTTCATAGGTCTATGTAACCTTTGAACTTTGTAGCAATATAATCAATTTTTTTTGCTTTGAACCAGAGCCATATCCGTAACTTCCATTTTTTAAAAGAATTTATATTTATTTATTAGGTTGTCCGGAAATTAATGCAGGTTTTGATTTCCAACCGCAATAAGTCATACATTTCTCATTTTTGAATAGGTTGCAAGGTACTGTTCGATAGAGCAAAGCAAGCTCTACAAGATGGTTATCTTGCTCTAGCAACAGCTCTGATTCACCTCGAGTTTCGAGCCAAAAACTAAAAATATTCAACTGCCCGAAAAATTGAGAAAAATCGTAACTCAGTTCGTAAAAATCCTACAAAAATTCTAACTTGCTCACGTAAACACAATCCACATAAGGCATCTATATACGCCGTTGCCGTATTTTTTTTCTGTTAGAAATCAAGAAAACGGAAATTTTCGTCCATTTGCTAAAGTGGTGCTGTGCCGTTTGCACATAGGTAGTTGTATACTGTAAACCTTTAGAAGCACAATCGTAAATTTCCAGCTCTCTACAAGCTTTAATTCTCGAGAAATATCGAAAACAGTTTTCCTTAGTCATGTGGTCCAAGCTAGAATTTGAATTTCTCGCGAACTAAAGCTTGTAGAGAGCTGAAAATTTACGTTTGTACTTCTAAAAGTTTGTAGTATACAACTACCTATGTGCGAACGGTGCAGCACCACTTTAGCAGATGAACGAAAATTTCCGTTTTCTTGATTTCTAACAGAGAAAAAATACGGCAACGGCGTATATAGATGCCTTATGTGGATTGTGTTTACGTGAGCAAGTTAGAATTTTTGTAGGATTTTTACGAACTGAGTTACGATTTTTCTCGATTTTTCGGGCTGTTGGATCTTTTTAGTTTTTGGCTCCAAACTCGTGGTGGTTCAGAGCTGTTGCCAAAGCAAGATAGCCGTCTTGTAGAGCTTGCTTTGCTCTATCGAATGATATATTGCAACCTGTTCAAAAATGAAAAATGTATGACTTATTGCGGCTGGAAATCAAAACCTGCATTAATTTCCGGACAACCTAATATTTATTTATTTATTCCAGTTCTGAATTCCAATTCTGGAAGTCGGAAAATCGGTGTAGGTCAGCTTTTCAACATTAATAAGTTCAATGAAGGATGCTCAGCTCTTTTCAATCATTTTCGTATTTTGCCGCAACTGAAATGCTGCTCAAAGAAGTGTGGACGAGAATGTGAAAATTCTGCTTATGAAACGACCAAGTATTATTAGGTTGTCCCGAAAGTTTTGTCCGTTTTTTTCATCGCTCACACAAATTCACAGAATACCAATCCATGGACGAATTAAGGTACCTTAGTTCAGATTTTTTTCAATTCAGATTTTCATCCTCTTTCTTACAACTATGTTTGCTCTCTGATCTACCCTGTCTTTGTGATGCTATCGCCAAGGGTTTGAGCAGCTCAACAATAACGCCAACTTTATCACAATTTTTGAATAATTTTGTCCTGATGTTTCTGAAGCACGCTGGTAATTACTATGTATAGCAAACCTTTGGCTACACTGTACCCATTTCAGATTATACGAGCCATGTTTACCAAGTCCGTTATAATTATTTATTCAATGAAAACCGCGGCTTTTTGATTACATTTACCTCGTAAAAGTACCGAAAATTCCAATGCTGCTTTTTTGAAGCAAATCAAACTTGATTTTGCATAAATAATGTTAATAAGAATTATGTTTCAATTCGCAGTAACTGCAAAAGCATTGTACATTACACGTACATTTGCAGCAGTTGCGTGTTCATGAGTTTGTCAAAAATCGAGACCTTCGAAGAAAAATTTTTGAAGCTAAAAACAGCAGATTAGAAGAATCTAGAAAATACCACCTTGTAGTCCGAGCATTGTTCTATTTGATCCACTCCTAAACCTTTCCGGAACATTGTAATGAAACTCTTAACAAAGAGAAGGAAAAGCTGCATCGAAGGCATGTTAAAACTCATTCAGGTCTTTATTGTGCGTGGTTTTACAGTGGTTTGAAAAAAACGCACAGAATGGGACAACCCAATATAATCGAGTAGATTTGGGTGTAAAAGATGAATCTTGATTGTTTTGTAATGATGTTTGAGCTTGAGCCCCAAGGCATGCCCAAGCGATGAGCTCTTTGCAATTTCTAGTCGCCACGACTTTTCTGCAGTCGCTACTAGAAGCGGCGAGTAAATCGTTCATCGGCCGACCGTGTGCATACCTCGGACAACATAGCGTTTATGATCTTGGCAACAGCAGGAATTCTTAACCTTAGAATTTTATCGAGATTAAGCTGTGTGCTGTCAAAAGAATACAATTTTTTTTGCATATACAAAGATCTATGAATTTTCTGGATTCCCGCTGGATTATAGTGTATACACCCAAGGCAACGCAGAATTCGTTTACACACCAGAAAACTGCTGTTGAGACTACATTCAAATTGTAGCATAACTACAAAGTCATAGAGAAGAACCCACAATTTTGTTTTCAACTTCAACTGGTAAAAATTTCCTCCGATGCGCTTCAGGAGAACAACTTGTTCTTGTTCGTGATAGTTTTGAGTATAATAGCTTCAGCACTTGGATAGTAGTCTTGTTATAGAACTTCAAGCATTGAATTACGCTGAAAAGTATAAGAGAAATAGGTAAGGCCAATAACAGCAAATTACACGCGATGGTTGGCCCGTCGATTTGTGCGAATGGACCACGCGTAATCGCGTGATTTCGACGAGATTGCGACGAGTAAAGCTGAGAAAGGTGTGCTCGACAATTGAGGAGCAATCTGTTGCTGCAATAAACCACTACTGCGTTGGGACCCATATGCTAAGAACACTTGTTCCACTTTGCGAATTGCGTTGTCACGAAATCGCGGGAGCCATGCCAAGGGCTTGAGGCTGATCTGAATACGGCCACCGGATTAATGTTCTATGCTCTCATAAGACTCATCTTGAGATCAAGATCATATCAGTATTGATACTGCTACTTTATAAACTCACTTCAGGTGCAGAGTAAACCATTTCTAGTCATCATCACTTTGGAAAGGTGGGCTGCGCATACAAGTGTTGAAGACAAGCCCTTTCTGGTTTTCAGGGCTATCGGCCCTACATTGGCATTGGTGTCTGTCGATCAGTCGATGGCATCGATCATCCGTGAAGTCAGAAGAAGATCACGCCGAAGGAGAGTGAGTGTTTCTTTTCAAGTTCAGCGGTATGAAAAGTTCAGTGGTAAAAGTCAGTCTCATGCAAACCTTTTTGGTGAAGCTTTCTTGAAACATCCACAAATTCCACCTTGTTGAACACCTTTTGCTAAGGGAGCATAGGTACTATCAGAATAGAATGGTGATCACTTTAACCGCCTACGAGAGGCAGCTATATAAAAGCTTTTGGCGCTCTCACCTCAAAAGGAGAACGGAGCAATGATTTTGAGAAGCGGCTTTGTCAATTGAGATCGTTGTGATACCGTGCGTTGTCTCTGCTTCGCAAGGGTTCGGACTGGTTGAGGAATGAACAACTCAATTAGGTACCGCCTCCGCGCGCTGCTGGTCCTTTCATCCTACTAGCGGCCCAATGACTCCTAGGCGCAAAATCACCTCAAATGCTTTCAATAATGTCATACTGTCTGCTTCAATCCCGACCAGGCCAAAATTGGCATGGCAAAAGTCCGCATTGCTAGGGTTTTGTGGTCACGCCCAAAACCTGCTTTTTTGCTTTCTCTGCTCCTTTTGCTCTCTCTGAAAGCGCGTATATGCAGCGCAGATCAATGGCGCAGCGAGCTGCGAATTTAGGCCGACGGTTCGGCCTGATTTCGATTTGAGCAGATTGTACAAGCTTTCGATTGGAAAACAAGATTTAAGAGTATTTTTATGGACAAGGATATTATGGGCCAAAGCATGTGTTTTCTCAAAAGTTAACAAAATGTTTTAAGGTTTAAAAAAGGTAAACATTCTGAAGCCACTTTTGTGTTTGAATGCCGAAGCCTGCGTAACTATTGTAAATATTGAGAGATTATCTTCCTCTGTATAGGGAAGATAATCTCTCAATATCTACAATAGCCGCGCGCACACCTGTAAGTCCGGTAACCCGCGGAGGTGACATTATATGGACAGAATCCCTTTTTCTTGAGTTTTTGCTTTACGGGGTGGCCGAACAAACATCTACTTACAGTGTCTAGTACGGTCTTGGGTCATAAATGGGCTCTATAGTAGTGCAAATCGCTTGAAGAGGCCCATTCTAATGATAGCAAAGCTTCTTAATGAGCTTCTGTTAAAACAGCAGTGCGACGCAATCAGTTAGCACCGTTTTCAGAGCATTGTAATCTGTTTTAGGTTATGATGTTAAGACATGGTTGTGTTGCACCCATGCTGCACAAAACTGCATCAAACCTCATCATAATTTTTTCTGATTAGGAAAATTGCTGGAACGCATTTTCTCACATAGCATTTTCTGATTAAGTTGAATCAGAGATAGAGGTAAGCTATTGAAACCTATTTATCTGCGTGCGCGGGAGCCCATTTTTTGAGTGCATATTAGGATTTTTCCGTTTTTATGGGCAAATAATAACCATCTCTAGTTGTTTATATCAGGTCGTTCCGAAAGTACTGTCGCTTTTTTCAAATAAACGCCACATTTCAAGGAATCAATATTTTTGAGAGATCTTAGGGGCGTTCGATGCAGCATTTCATCCTCTTTCTAACGGTTGTGATTGCATTGCGTATTATTCAATGAGCTCTCAAAAAATTACCAAAATCTGCGACTCATGCTTTTTGCCATGGTCAAGTTCGGCTATTTTTTGAAATTTCGTACCTAATCTTCCAAGAAGTACAAGTGACAGGTAGATAGAGCAAACCCTATAGGATACAGGCTAATTTTTTTCTTTTCTTTAGCTTATCCATCTGTTACTTGGACTCCTTTTGAGGGTTGTTATAAAAATTCAGAACATTTGTGAAACTTGGCCTTCTGAAAAAGCATGGGTCGCAGATTTTGATGATTTTTCGAAACATTATTGAATTCTGTGCAGCGCTTATATAACCGTTAGAAAGAGAATGAAATGCTGCATCAAACGCTGCCAAAATCTCTTACACATCTTTGTTCCACGAGATGTGGCGTACGTCTGAGATAAGCGACATTACTTTCGGAACGATTTAATATTTATTTTTGATGGAAAAATAGCAGACACGAGCGCGAGTCCATGCTTCTCATCCACCCTGCATTGTGATCTGTTGAGGACCGCACTTTTTTTCGCATATGGCTTCTCCATATGTCCAGACCCTCTCAATTTTAGATGCCATTGGTAAATTTCCGCAATTAGGCAAGTAGAAGCAAAAAGTTAAAAGTTAACCTAGCCATTGCGTGCTTAGTTTTTCTTTTCTAAATATCATAAGTCTCCCTCATTCAAATTCCTGGAGAGTCTCCACAGAGACCATTTCTTCCCACAAAAGACTGTCTTAAATGCGCAAATTCTTCTACTTCTTTCCAGAAATGTAGCTATATTGCCTTGTCAGTTTTGTCTTAATAATTTTCGAGAATACGACATCCGCAATACTTTAACTAATTTTTCTCCGCCTTCGAAGCATTTCGAATTTCTGAAAGGAGCTAAGAGATACCTGAAAACATGAATATCCGCAGTGGAGAGCATTCATAAAATGCACCGGGTCTTCAGAATCAGACACAATCTTTTTGAGACTGCGGCTCATAAACCGGAAAATAGGCTAATTCATAAAGATACTGATTTTCCAATTTATGTGGTGACAGAAAAAGCTTCGGTATATTCGAATCCTCATAACTCAGCGATTATTGAAGAAAAACCGTTGAAAAGCTACCAACGAAAAGAGGAAAACAAGCTCTCAAACGAAAATGCTGTTGAAATCATAAAATATTTTCAAAGAAAGGACGAAAAATGGGCCAAAAGTGAGGCAACTCTCACGAGGAGTTGTTGTCACTGGAGATGCCATGTAAGCGAATAAAGCTGGGAAAAGAGACAAAAATCCATGTCATTACAGATGTGGTAAAAAGGTCTACTAAGCGGGGACGTGAGGCTTCCATGGCAGCCGAAGACGGGAAAGCATACCTGACGAAATGCGATGATTGTAAAAATGAACATCCCCAAAATTCGCAAACGTAGCAACTTAATCGAGAAGAACACACAAGAGACTTACAAGACGATCAAAGGAGAATATGAATCTAGACGTGATTGCTACAATGCTCAAAAAATTAAAGGACCCATACAAGCGCCCACATCGGTGTCTCGCGGCCGTTCTCCAAAGGACTACCGACTGCTTGAAAGTCCTTCTCTGCAAAAAATGCAATTTTTCACCTTACGATTCTTTTATATGAAATGATTGCTGTGCGGGGACCAGTAGTCTGCGGAGATGGTGCCTGATTGAGGTGTTCGTTCCTCCACCCGCTTCGGACTACTCAGACATTCGCCATTGAGTCCCGCAGGATAAAATGAGGTGTCGTCACGGAATGCCTGCGCGACTCCCGAAATCGGTGTCGGGACAAAATCAGGACACCTGATTTTGTTTCGGGACAAAACTGCGCGACAAAATCCGGATAAAATCGGGACACCTGCGGGAGACACCATTTTGTCCCGATCGCATTCAGAGCAGGCGGCCTACGCCCTTGTTAATAGGTTTTTGCGTCCTCTGGTCTTCTTTCACGCCTCTCTTTTCACTTACTTTGAATCCTTCGTCTCTTCGGGTCTCATTTGTCACGCCAGTTATTTTTCTGCTCGTAAAACCCAGTCAAAAATCAACAAGTTTATAAACAAATACTACATATTCGAAGCATCACAATTACGACACAAGGTTACGAACAACTACAACAAAAAATGTAGACAAAGCATCAGGCTTCCTAGAGGTCATCGACGTCATCTTCTACGCATTCGGTTTTCCGAATTACCAGGTCTTCCTTAGTGATACTGGTACCGTTGCCTTCGGTGTCTTCGATAACGAAACGCTTTTTCTGAAAAAACGAAAATTATTGAGCCACGATCACATAAAACAAATGAATCACTTTTGATGGAAGAAGAGCGGATCTTTCAGGGTCAAAATGATATGTTCGAATGTCTGCCCTGTAAAACTATAGTTCAGAAGTATCGCTTCTTCCGTATAAGAAAACTCACAAGGCTCTCCCTATTGCTATTCTTGCTTTACCGCTCCATACAACTCTTTTCTCTGAAAGGACATTGAAAAGCTTTTCGCGACCGTCGTCATCTTCTGCTAAGGAGAACCACCACCTAAATTCTAGTGCACATAAAGACCTTTCGAAGACATACATACCTATTTGGATTCCGCTTATGCTCGTCTGGCGTCCGCAGAAATTCGCCACGGTACAGGCCGAGGGCGTCAAGGACGAAACCTAAATCAGTTATTTAAAGGTAATGTACTTGGATACACATTGACCCACTTATTAAAAAATCGACCAATTCTTCTGGGAGGTCTTGGAGATGATCAAATTTTCCCTTCTTCCCACTTTGTCTACAAGCGTATTTTTGAATTTTTTGAATTTATTTTTTTAGATGTACTAGCAAAAAGAAAATACCGTGTTTTTTCTAATTATGATTTCAGAATTTAGTCGCTAAAGTGCGCCTAACGAAAGTAGAGATGGGGTACTTTGCAAAATACATATTACACGTAGATTCGCCTTAGAAATAACATCAACGAATAGGGATTCATCGTAAGAAGTAATTTTGAAGTTTTTATAGGGAAAAGATGATAGTGTTTAAGAAAGAATTATGATTTTTTCGTCCTGATACTAGTTCTAGGAAAATGCAGCGAAAACAAAGCCAATCAACAAGTTCACAGTCTGTTTGTTTAAGGCATCTTATATTTCGGCCGATGGACTTGGCCAAATACTGTACGTCGTAAACATGAACTCAACACTGTTGCAATTTGGGCATTGCAATCTCTACTTGCAAAAAACCTGCACTTACCTAATATGCAGCAAATGATAAGCCTGGCTTATGTGTGACTGAACAAATAAGAGCGGAGCTTCCTCGGAAGGTGATTTGAAAATGAAACTAACCTTTCGGCAGAAATACAAAATGAACTTAGTAATTTTAAATTGTACTCGTTCAGACATGCTTCTGCGCTTCGGGACAAAATCGCACCAAAATCGGGACAAAACTAAAATGATGACTCACGCCGGTGCACCGGATTTTGGTGCGACTACCTATTTTGTGGGCGGATCTCCTGCGGGACTCAATGGCGAATGTCTGAGTAGTTTTATCACTCGTATGCCTTTCTCGTACTTGCATGATAGTGACTTTGAAACTCACCGCGCAAAGATGAACGTCACAAATAAATTGTAAACGACCACTCATTCCCAAAGCCTTTCCATGTAAGATCGGTTGGATTGAAATAACTACTTTGCAGAAGAACAAATGCGAACTTGAATCATTTATGAATCCATTTTGATTTGATTGCCACGGCAGAGACGTTGATCATTGTGGGCTACATCTATCGAAATCCTCTAAATTTTTTGAGGAGGAAACTATATGTGGCCGAAAGGAGGCGTTCCCCGCTGTCATCTGCTACAAATACGCGCCCTCGAGCATGCTGTAGTGCAATTTGCAAAGACAGAGTTCTTCACCCAAATTTTTAAAGGTGAAACTATGATAAACCGGCGATTATCAGTCATTCTTCTACGGTGCCATTCCAAATATTCAGAGTGTCCCGTACACACTTTTCATTTTTGATAACTCTTTTTTCACAGAGTAGTTAGAGCAGACATTAACTTAGATTTACGGTGTGGAGCGAATTACCCATCGCTTTCCGTTACTGTAGGATTACGGTAGGAACTTCCATTATACAGCACGAGTTTGAAATAGGTTTGAGAAAATTTTTTTTAGAAAAATCTGGAAAATTGTGTAGCAGTGTTTTTGGACATGCTGATTTCATCAGACAACTTTTTACGAGTTTTTGAGTTGTAAGCCATCTAACTCCATTCTTGAATATCACTTAAAAACGCAGAATTAGATTGAACTGAATCGAGAATTAGGATTCCGGCAGCAGATTTGCTTGTCAATTAAAGGCATAACCTTTAATTGATAAGTAAATCTGCCGGAAGCCTAAATCTCGATTCACTTCTGCGGACCAGAAACGCAGTGGACCTGTTTTACGTGCACGTTTGAGTGCTCGCGTATCGGACCGCTCTCCTTGTGCATAGTGGACCTACAAACACACACTCACACAAAAAGACCTTGGCGCTATATTATAAGTCACTAGCTGGCTTTTTCGGTCCGACCCGCGTCATCTTTCAGGAATATGGTAAAAGCTACACTTTGCCCTTTCCCGTCTTTTCTTTCGGTTCAGCCATGTCCTCTGCCCCTTTTCTACAGCCTCAATACTGCACTGGAAGCACCCTCCTCCTCCCCCCTACTCTCCTTACTCTCCTACATGAGCTTACCTCAGAACGATTGTTCCACGTAACTGCATCTTCTCTCTCCAAATGGAAAGTGCAGTAATTGCACAGATGTGAACAGTGCAATTACTACACTTCTACATCTGTGCAAGCAGATTGACAGCAGTTAATAAGTGTTTATTTTCATCGTAAAGTGTTAAAAATTAATAAATCGACAGAACTGACGCTGAAGCAGCGCCAACATCAACAAGAAGTTGATCAATTAGAGCGATCGAGAAACAGAAGCAAGACAAAGAAAGGCTGCGCGAGAAAAATGAACGGTTCAAAAGGGATCTGCAACAAACAAGAAACAGACCAAGAGAAAAACGCTCACATGAGGAAGAAAAACGCTCGCACGAGGAAAGGAGAATGGAAAAGGGACGCACGTCGCCTCCCCCCGATCAGTATCAAGGACCCTCGGCCAAAACCCGGAAAATTCACAGACCGGAAATTGGGAGAAAAGGCTCGAACGCGAAATAATCGAGATGGAAAGAACTTTGCAAGAGTATCCTTGTCGGAAAATAAGAGAAACGAACCGTGGGGTGAAAGGAGTCCAATGTGCTTTCTGCGATGAAGTCAGCGAACACTTCTCAGATTCCTGCCCACACTACGTCAGCGGAGACAGGAGACTGGAACTAATCCGCCAGAAAGGACTTTGTCGATTCTGTCTTGAAGACTGTCCTCCCGACAAGGAGTGCGCTTACGCCGCGAGGGAGTGTTGGTACTGCGAGAGACTGAAAGGAACCATTTTCGAGACCTCCATCCAAGAGATGTTGGACACCATCGAGCGCTGTGCAATGTTCCGGACAATAGACTGGCAAAGCAAAGAATTCTCGACGCCAAACAAGCACTGAACAATTATCGCAGACTAACTCAGTGACGGCGTGGGGAGTGTCGACGACATCGACGACCAAGTTGATTATTGTAAACCAGTGCGTCACCTCTGCTTCGCAGAGGCTCGCACTGGCCCTACTTTCTGTATGCTTTACTCATTCCCGCACAAAAGTGACAATGAAACTTACCGCGCTATGCCGACTATCACGAATGATGTGTAAACAACTATTCATTCTAAAAGCTTTTCCATATGAGATCGGTAATTTCGCGTGAATGAAACTTCTCCCAAAGGAACAAATGCTGATTTGAATCGGTTTTTGGAGTTATCATGACTTGGCATTTGCCATAAGATTCAAAGTCACCGTGGGCTACATCTCTGTGCAAAAATCTCGTCAAATGCTCCGGTAGAACCTTGGCAAATTGACCAATTACAACCAATGCTTTTTAGCGCCGTTTTTGTAAAGTAATGGACCTTTGATTACTTTTTTGGTCCTAAGTTCATGACTTGCACATTCACTTGGCACAAACATCCGCGACTCTGTAAAAAGTGCAATTAGGAACTAAAGTTGCGGCCCAAACGTAAAGTGGATCCCTTTGACGCGCAGTTTCTGAGGGATCCACTCAACGAATCTGCTCGTACTTTTGTGTGTTGGATTTTCATGCGGATAGCATGCGCTGTGCAAAATTTGAGCCGAGAAGGTTGGCTGGAACTCGCACTACGAATTTCGTGACAGACAGAGATTCACACACACACACAGACAAACGTAAACAACCCTTAGCCCGTTATTATAACTTATGATAGTATATACAATATCCTTTTGACCATGTCATATTTGTTTGATGAATCATCTCGAGTTGTACCTTTTTTAACTTCAAGTTTTGTTTTGCATTTTTCTCATTTCAAGTTTTGTTTCGTAACGCTTATCAGCTCACTTATATTTACTTTCCCTTTAAAGATATTTTGAGATCTTAGTTTTATCAGATCTGTGGATGTATAAAAAGAGCCCCTATCGCCGTATGAGCATGCTTCCAACTCAAGTTTGTCCATCCCTTCAAGCTCGAGTGCAAGTTCGCTGGACGTCCATCAAGTCCTGCTTATTCTCAAGTTCGCTGGACGATCACCAAGTTCGGCATATTCTCAAGTTTTGCGCTCCCGACCATACGGCGTGTGAGTGGATTTTTGTATATCTTACATATTTGGAGATTGGGAATAAACGTATTTGGAGCTTCGACTTCAAACACTACATTATAGTCCCGCGTAGCAGTTCAAGTTTGACCAGGCTTACTGAAGAGACCGAAGAACCCAATTTTTCCACAAGAACGACTGAGCGATTCTAGGCAAAAGTAGCTTATCGTATGCGCAGGAGTTGAAAACATATGTGTGCAAAGTTTAGCGCTTTTTGGTTTACTCACAAGATTTCTACCCTACATATATTCGCGGAAACACAAACCTTGACTTTTATATACGTGTACTAGCTACTAGCATCCCCGGCCTTACTCAGGCCAGGGTCTATTATTCTTTGAATGCTAAATTTTCAAAGATGAAACCCACATAGCCAGCCATTCACATAACACAAACTTTGTCTTGAATACGAGAAACGAATATTGAGTGTGCTGTTATAGGGTTCATCAGACGAAGGTCCAAGAGTTCCAAGTGCTGAAGAATATAAGCTGGTTAGTTACACCATAGATATGTGTATGATCGCGTCTGACTCGTCAGGATTACTGGCACGGCTACATGCCAAATGAGGATACCGCCATGATTCTCAAAAAGGATGGTGATTTTCTTTTAAGAGCACTCATGGACGAGCCCAAGCCAATTTGTATGTCTGTCAGATCAGGAGAAAAGGTAGAGAATTTTCAGCAGCTCATGTGCTAATGGTTTTGTGCACTTCAACGGAAACTTTATTCTAGCAAGAGATGAAGTGATGACATTTAATTTAATTAATCAAATTGAATATGCTCAGGTTTATAATGCAATTGTAAACCGAACTGAGTCTGGTGGATACGAGTTGGCCGGAGTAGAATACTCGTCAATAAAAGACATGATAGACGAGCTACAGGTAAAGCTGTCTCTTCACAAAATGTGACTTTTTTCTCGATGTGTTCAGTTTATTTGAGGTTCGAAAACGGCCCATACCCATTGAAGATGCTCAAGTTGTTCTTAATTGCCCAATTCGTAGAAGACCTTGGGAACTCAGACACTGGTAAGTTTTATAGGTGTTCACACCTTCAAAACTTTCTCGCTTTCAGCATGATCACGTTAGGAAAGCGGCTTGGAAAAGGATCTTACGGGAGCGTTTACAGAGCGATTCTAAGGAAAGATCGACAAGTGCTCGAAGTAAGCTCCAAATTTGTAATTGTGGATTTTGTGATAGGTCGCTCGGAAAATGTCCATCACATCCTACTGATGCAGAGTGAAAGCGATAAAAATGAATAGGGTATTTAATGATAGTGCAAAACAAGCTCTACAAGATGGAATACAAACATAAGCCGAAACACTGTTTCACGTAAAATTCAAAGCTGGAGTATGAAAGATTATTCAAGTACCAAAAAATCACTTCTTTATTAGTTTCTTACGAAAATTCGATGTTCGCGGAATCCCATATCCTGAGCCATGCTATAGTCTTGCTGATAAAAAGACTCTCTAACAGCAGACTTATTTGGCGGTTTGCGTTCAACGATAGACGTTTGCTGATCGTGGAAAAATGATTCTTGCCATATGGTGAAGATCTGCGTTTGCCGGAATCGAAGTAGATTGATGGACCCTGTTAAAGGCAGTGCCCGGGCAAGATGGGGCTTTGGGACTTCAGTGCCATACAGAATGACACCCCTCAAACACAACATCGCGCAAGTGCGACGCCATAGCGCTCTACCTAAAGCAAGAAAAACTACCGGAAAGTAAGGAAACTTACGCCCTGGGGCGGGGCCTCCGAGCTGTCCGCATTTCTAAGCGGCAGCGTAGGCATGCCGCCACAGTTAAAATGTAGGGTGCCGCAGCGACTCTGCGTTTCAGCCTTAGTAAGGAGCTTCAGATTTTAAATTGTCGGCTTCGGAAAACGTATGTTCTCGCCGTTTTCGCGCCTTCTAGTGTGGATTTTTGGATTCAGCGTTGCGGAAAATCCCCGGTAAGTGAATTTTTTAGAAATCGAGTTCTTGCCCGGACACTGCCTTTAGAAACAAACCTGGCTGAACCTAAAGTAACCTTGTAATGAATGTCATGTTATATTGAGGCCTTACGCTGGTAGAGCAGGGGGTGGGGGGAGAATAAAACAAGTCCTTCCTTTCAATTACCGTATAAGAATCACGAACAATGAAAGTCTGTCAAACTTCAGCCCTGACCAAAGGTATACGCGCTGTGCGTTTTATGAAAAATTAATTGAAAAAGACGAGAGTTGAATAGGCAATTTTGCCTCCGATACTCTACGGCAAAACCTCTGTTTTGCGATTCACAACAACGCAGCGGAAGAAGGTTCATTCGTCAACAGGTACACACAGGGAAAAGTTCCTAACGACGCAAAGACGTACTGTGACATACGCACGAAATCATGTAGCACAAAGTGTATACGTAAATGATCAATGTACGAAAAGATTGCCGCCTCGGCAGTAGAATATGAATACAGCCGTTCAATAAGGAGTGCTAAAGCAGGATATAAAGCCAATAGGCAGATGATAAATGCATCAGAATTTACAGAAGTGGACCAAAACACAGTATATAGTAACGGTCAGAGCACCGATAGCGCATCGCCTGCATAAAAGTGAGCAAAACGTGTGCAGATCATATCGCCACGAATACAAGATACATTCAGATAAGCTCAAAAGCTCGAAGTGCGCATGACAAGGGTAATCCATGGTACAGAGGTAATTTCGCGTCCTGAGAAACGATTTGGCGGCCATAAACAGAGTGCGAGCCTGCTCCCTGAGATCCTCCCAGAGCCGGGACACAAATTGACGTTATGAAAAGCAAGACCGCTTGCCCCTGAAGCAGTGAAGTGAAGCGAAATAAGAAATTAAAGAGATAGGGCCTACAGAAACTTGACGCAACTCTCCGTACAATACGGAGCAAACTCCGCATAGCATAGGCTGACTAACACAATTCGTAAATATGCGGTAAAATGACTGAGATAGCAACAGTGACCTGGAATAGTGGTTAATCCTACAGAAGCGAATCAAAACACGAGCTACATTTCCGCAGAACGATAACCAGATGAGCACACTTTTGGAGTAAGTCAGGCTATGCCGACACAGAACAAAAAGAGAACAAAGTCTATCAGTAGGAGACAAAACATAAACCAGTGGGTACGGATGAGATACAGACACAATTCAAAGAGGGCTGGGATCGATATAGCAGGAAAAGGCCTCCGTTGATCTCCACCTTCCCGCGCGCATGATATTTGCGGGGTGGAGTCCTGATCGTATTGCAGTTGTAGCGGCGCCTCCTCTGAAGGAGTGCGTTGTGAGCTTCCTGTGTTGCAGGCCGGCTTGATCGAGGATTCCTTTGATACGGCGAGAGACGTCATCCCTCGAGGGCGCTTTGGAAGTTCTGCTAAAAATGTATTGTTCTGGACTTGGTGGAAGTAAGTTCTCGAATACGCTCCAAAGTATGAGGGCCTGTCCTCCTAATCGGAATGCTACTTTTGCACCCTGGGCACCCTGATCAGTCTTTGATCTTCTTATATTCAGCCACCAGACATCATTGCCTTCCCGGCTAATGTCGGAAACGCGAAGCTCGCAAAGCTCTCCCACTCTCAGAAAGGCAGCAAACGAGAGAAGGATCATTGCCGCTCCTGCTACCCCAGAGAAGGATTTCTTCTGCAGCGCCCAAGCGATCACCGTATCCACGTGCTTCTGAGTTGCCTTCGTCCTGTGCTTTGGAGGAGGTGTAGTTCGTTTCGCCCCACGCAGTAAAGCGCGTAAGATCTCTTCATCTTCGCTAGGAAGGGGCCCGAAGAAGTGCGCTAGCGCCGTCACATGACATCCAAGGGATTTAAGCCTCTTCTTTTCGATCAAATGCGCTACATACACATTTCTGAGCTTGTGTAAGGCCGAAACGGGGACCCCGAACTTTCAAATGAAATCCAAAAATTCTTTTTGCACTCTCCTATATATCTTTACGGTCCCTGGCGCTAGCGCGCTCTTCAAGAGTCAATCAGCTGGGCCACTTTTCTCATGCCCGCCCCGACCGCGATCTCAGCAGTCTCCTCAGCTCTCATCCGCCTAGCATCGGTGAAGTGCTCTGAAACGGGGAAAACTAGCGACCTTTTGACATGAAATGCGTTATAAGCACCCTAACAGAAAGTCCTCCTACTAGCTAGTTAGCTAAACACGCGGATTTACCCCTAACCTACACCATTGGACTTGATAGTATTATAGATATTACTTTTATTACAGATACTCTCCCTGCCGCCTGATAGGGTGGGTGGGTGGGTCCCAAGTTGACGAACGACCGGAATGGTGAAAACAACGGCCAAGCACGCATAAGTAAACAAGTCCCGCCTTCATGCGTGCTGGACCGCCACTAAGGCGGTTATGAAATCGCAAAACTCCATTTTTGCCTCCGATGCTCTACGGCAAAACCTCTGTTTTGCGATTCACAACAACGCAGCGGAAAGAGTAAAGCTCGAGGGCTAGAATTGGAGAAGAGCGAAGGCGAAGTCAAAATTAAGCGATACCCCGCCAAACATGTAGGATGGTGAGTTTCCGACCAAAATTGGGCTTCCCGCTGGGAATACCTTTATATCCAAGATTTGGGGTATCCATGAATCACCCTCCCGCAAACTCGGAAAAAAGATATTCGACGGCCACATGGGAAAACCCAAAATACCTCTGCTTTTATGCCGTTTAGCCCACAACAAAGTTTTGGTTATTAATTTGGGCGGCGGAACCCACCATGCAAATTCCTTTTTCCACCATATTACCGCTTTTTCTGAAAACGCGTTAACAGCAACCGCCTCTGCACAAGCTTCTCTAGAGAAAAAGAGGCGCATTTTTTGCTAAGATTACTGGCAAAAAAATCTACAGTACACTGACCCCACAGCTGTTGCAACTGCGCGCTTATCTCGGCCCTGACGCTCCAGTCGTCAAAATCTATGGCGCGCGAAGCTAAATCGGCTTCCGTATTGAATTCTCGTGCTACCCAGCAGAATTTTACTGTGAGGTGGAGCCTCGCGCAAATTGTCCAGATATCTTCAGTCACCTTCTGCGGTTGCGACTTTGTGGTACCTTTCCGTAAAATGGCGACAGCCGCTTGATTGTCGCAATGCCAGATAGCTTCCTCATTTACCAAATGCTCGCGGAACGCTCTCAGACCGAAGTATGGCATAGAGCTCTCTAACCGTACTTGACATTCCTATCAATTCCGGGGGCAGGTTGGCCGAGGCTGATACTTTTTCCTCTAGATTCAGATGCAAAACGGCCCCCACCCCAAACTCAGATGCATCCGAAAATATCCTGAGCGCATTAGATAGATCCGGAAACGCAGTGATAGGTATCCCTTTAAACCTGTAGTCAAACTCCAGCCAACCTTTGATTTCTCTTCTCTCCTCTTGTGTGAGTGGCCACCTGAACGCTAATGCCGTACCCGCTCGATCTTTCTCGGCCACCTCAGTTGCCACCGCTTTCCAACTCCTCTTCAACTCTGAAGGAATCACTAAGTGCATCGAGGATAATGTACCTTGCCACTTTAATCTATCCTTGAGAGACGGGCCTCTCATCTTTAGCACCCTTCCAGCCAACTCCCTGGCCCTTTTTCTCCTCTCACTACTCACGTTCATGGTCATAGTTATCAGATTAATGTCATGACCGAGCCAAACAAGCCTCTGGACCGGTGTCCATGAGCATTTCTCCTCGGCTGTCGAGAAGCCGCTTACTGCCTCCTCGCACCTGTGTGCGGAATCAGACCATATAAGCCCGTCATCCAGATACAGCGCCACATTAATCCCGCTTGCTCGCCATTTGCCCAACAAGGGTCTCATCAATTTAGTAAAAATCATGGGGGCGGACGATAACCCAAATGGAAGTACCACATATTTGTAATAACTACCCTTCCAAAAGAACCCAAAGTACTTGTGAAAATGCTTGTTAATTTTTACATGGTGATATCCTGACTTCAAATCGAATGATGCCATAAATCCGCCACGTGGCAATAAAGGAGCTACCTTTGCAACATCCTCGAATTTCACACTACTCTTTACCACCACGGCGTTAAGGTTTGATAGGTCTAATATGAGTCTTAACTTTTTCCCTTCAGCTACAGACAGAGGGTTGACTCTAATTTGCTCTTTCTCAGCGACTTTGATCACTGCTCCACTACGAAGGAGACTTCCTATCTCTGAATCCACGAAGTCTTCATGCAAAAACGCCGACCTACAGTTATTTCTGATGAATCCCAATGCGGGCTCAGCAAGGAATTCGGAAGTATAGCCTTCTTGAAGCAAAACTCTTAGAAACGGGGAAGGCCTCAAGCTATTCCAAAACCCCAGGCAGTCATGGATATGTCCCACATAAAACTCACTCTTAGGCTTTTCGCTCCTCGCGACATTCGCGGGAGTAGTGGCCATACCTCCCACAGTTGAAGCACATATCGCGGGGACGGCCTTGGTATCCGGGATGCATTTGCGAATTGAAACGGCCTTGTCCTTGACGGGGCATCTGGAAAGGAGGAGGGGGGGGCCCGAGCCGCCCCTCCGACCCGAAAGGGCCGCGGGTATGGCGAAAAACGCGCCCCTGAATTAGAGTACAATAGCTGCCAAGTGGCTTCGTAAAGTACGGTATCGTAGTACTCTCATCTTTATTTGAAAACTCATACAGTGCCCTTCATCGGTGTCGGCTTTTTGTCCTCGCTTTTCTTCTTTTCGCGGATAAATGTGGCGAGGATAGGGTTTGTTAACTGCATCGCATCCGCTTTTGATTGCTTGTCGTAAAAATCGAATACTTCGGGGTCCGTGTCTGCGATGGTTAACAATTCATTCCTCTGAGTCAAAAGCGTGATGGCCCGCCGTAGGCAATCTTTGGTCTCCCCCTCCTCTGGCAGACACTCTAGGGCCGGAGACAGCGCTGCTAATACCGACGCATTGAAGCTGAATTGTTTTTCAAGACCGGGCTTAGTAAACGTTGGCCTAGTCGAAGGGCCGGCCATCATAGCCGCGCTTGTCGGAAACAGCAGGGGGGGGGGGTGGGACCCGGGAGTTGCTAGGGAAATTAGCTCGTCGTATTGGTCCTTGGACATTTGGACTAGCTCTGTCTCGGGACGTCTGGACGAGGGGCCGGCCGCCATAGCTGTATTTGCCGGGGGCACCAGGGGGGTTGACGCAGGAGTCGTAATATGAGAAACTAGTTCGTCGAACTGTTCCTTGGACATTTGGACAAGGTCTGTATCGGGAGCTGTCGGAGATTCTTTAGCCATGTCGACAGCGAATATCGGAATATACCACGTTCCCAAGTTGACGAACGACCGGAATGGTGAAAACAACGGCCAAGCACGCATAAGTAAACAAGTCCCGCCTTCTATGCGTGCTTGGACCGCCACTAAGGCGGTTGTGAAATCGCAAAACTCCATTTTTGCGAATCGCGAGCTTTACGGTACGCGGACTTCTGCATCAGCTCTTAACTGGTACCGCCCTCATCACTATTATCGTTTGCATCTTCAATTACCGTATAAGATTCTAAAAGCTGGCAGCCGCCTCACTTAAATGTTTGCTCTTTCAACATTCATAATTCATGAATATCGATAGTTAAACTTCTGCGAATGGTGTATTATGGCCTTATTTAGGTGGCAGTAAAAGTATTATCCGATATGAGTCCAGAAAATTCGCATGCATTGTGGAAAGAAGCGAGAGTGATGCAGATGTATGACCATCCTCATGTAGTGCGAATGTATGGCGTCGCAAATGATATAGAGGTTACATTCTCGTTCTGCTTTTTTCAACCGAAATCAGTTTTTGCTACAGTTTGCCCCTATCCCCTATCCTAACCAGGTCAAAATCGGCATGGCGGGAGTCCGCGCCGCGAGGGTTTCGCGCCACATCTGCGGCTAGCTAGTCTGCTCTCTCCTCGATCTCTTCACTCTCTGCGACAGCGCGCGTATGCAGCGCAATCCCCTAGCGGTGCGAGCGCGCAAATTCAGCCGACGGTTCGGCCTGATCCCGATTGGGGCAGACTGTACAACTACCGATAACGCTTACGCTACATTACATCCTTACAGCCTTACTATCTTGTGATGGAGTTAGTTAGTGGCGGTGCTCTTAACGATTTCTTGAAAAAGAAGGGCAGATATGCAAAGACTGCGAAGAGGGTGCAGGTGAGGGAATCATTTGCAATCCAATCCACATTTTCGGTGATTTTCGAAAGCACATAACCACTCTCATCCATAAAAGTGGTTAGCAGACTAAAGTCTTCCCAACTTAACAGTGCGCTCACTTTAGAGGCATTCATTACAATGATGTAATTAGTATTCATAAGATGAAAGCTAATTCATGACAACTACTTTAAGATTGTTTATGAGGCTTCCCTTGGAATTGAATATCTCCATAGCAAAGGTTGCATACATAGAGACATTGCTGCTAGAAATCTGTTGATGGATAAAGTTATCAAGGTAGGCCAGCACTAATGATTTCAAACTTTAAGCCCGTACAAGCACGTACATCATTGTAAAGGGTCTCATGTCCTGATACCTGAGCATAATGGATGCTAGGATATTGTCTACAAGCTAAGATTTCCAAGGTTTTACGTATTCCCTGAGGGAAATCTAAGGGATCAGCATTTGTTTCGAATTCTTCATTTTCCCATAAAGTTGATGGAAACGTCGTAAAGTTGTACTGACGATCTATTATGGCGTAGGCATGTTTCAGTGGCTTACAGAGGAAGGGTCGCGAAAATTTTGAAAGTTACTTATATGAGTTATAAAAATGTGCAAGTAACTCGTCCATACTTCTAAACAATCAAAATAATTTTTGAAATATTCCAGAAATTCATACAGCCGTATAAAAAAATTTCGAGGGCGTCAGGGGTCATGAATCCGCAAAAAGTGTGGGCATCAAAAAAATTTTTCGGAGTGCCTGGCTAACACCACGCACCTTGATTCAAAATAAATTTTGTCCCCCTCTCGAAATCCTGGGAGGGACTACCATTGTGCGTTTATATACGCGGCGTGTTTATATACGAAAAAGTAAAATACCTCAGAATTTCAAAATCTGAACCAATGTTCAAAAGCTGGGGTTTATCACTGCCTTCATATTCTTTTTGCCCTATCAAAACATGCCTAGCGCTGCCGGAGTAGATCCTCAGAGCTACTTTACGAATTTTGCATTTATGGGAAGCTTGTATGGTTATGTCCTTTTTTTTATCTTGCATCTGTCCCTATACGGGGTCTGCCGTGTATGGTTACGTCCTGTTATCCATTATGTTCAGGTATCAGAGTATGAAAATTTTATAAAATAGATAGACAAAAAAGAATATAGATATCTGATGCAGCGAAATATGGCAAACATTTTCTCGTTTCCCCTTCCCTCTCAGCGGGAATGTACGGGCACACGGGCCTCGCACTTTCTCCAATATCTGGTGCCTTCAAAAGATTCTCCTCTTTGTCCATTTTAGGTTGCAGATTTTGGGTTAACGCGAAGATCGAAATCTTACATAGTCAATCCGGATAAACCAATGAACCTTAGATGGCTGGCACCTGATGTGTATCACACTGGCATAGTAAGTCACTTCTGGCAAATTCTGAAACCAGAATTGATCAGAGTTGCTTTCTTTTTGATTGCCATTGTGGTCTGAAAAGTCTAAGCAGAATTTTAGACCAAAAAAGTTTTTCTGAAAGTATCATTGACTAAGAGGCATATATCGTATCCTCGCGTCATCAGGAATGAAGATAGTTCGCGGCTCGGGTAGGGCGCGACCTTCTCGCCTAAGCTCCGCATCATTTTTGTGAGCGTGTTCTCTGTACATTTTCGCGCACATAAGCATGGAAAAGGCCCAGAATTAAAGGTCATTTGCTAATTAGCGTGGGAAAATGATTAGGTAGGCTGACGAAAGAGGTGCAGCACAGGCTCAGCGACCGCGCAAGGCTCAAATCGCACGAGCTCTCAACATTACTAATGAAAGGGAGGGTAGGCTTTGATATACAACTTGAGAAAAATGGGACACAAAATCGAAGTGGCCGTTCTTCACATGTCCAATTTAAACTGCTATACAGGGAGTAAGGGTGCTTCCGAAAAGCACGCGCTTTGGTCGTCATCGACAGACTCGATTCGGACGCAACAAACGCAAGATATCAGAGTGCGAAAGTATGGCAATATATCAAAGAGTATGGAGGGTTATCGCTGTTACTGCTCTTATATGAAGGATGGGATGAGAGAATGACAACGTAATTCCGCATACGTCTTGTAAGCAGTAACCTTACGGCTGATTTTTTGGTATTCTCTGAACTAATGAAAAAAATCTGCCTTGCAAAGTCGATGAAAAGTTTGTGCCAACGCTTGCTATACAATTTTATGCGAAAGAAGTAGGTCGAAGAGCAATGCAAAAATGCATAGTAACAAAATCTTGAGCACTAACTCAAAAAGCTTGCAAAGTGACTCACATTAACATTCAAGCGTTTAACTTTTCTTTTTTCTTTTCAAAAACACTTTGCAGGTAGAAAAACACACCGATGTCTATGCTTTTGGTATAACAATGTGGGAAGTCTTCCAAGTACCCTATCGGATACCTTACAAGGAATGGACGGCAGACGAGGTGAACTTATATTACTAAAAGTTTATGAATTTTCTGTTCTTGTTTCATATAACCAGTATCCTAGGTGTATGAAAATGTAGTTGATGGCACATACAGACTTAGTCCGCCCGATGCTATGCCCTCAGACGTGGCGAGTTTGTTCAAGGAATGTATAGGTAAGGCGGAGCAAACCCTTGAAATTGAGTATGAAACTTTGCTTTTTAGCCAAGCCTGAACTGAGACCCACATTTAAGTCCATAGTCCTGTTTCTGAAAGCTTGTTTGAAGGGATCAACCGCTGAAGAATGATTGAGCCAGTGATTATTAACAGCTTAAACGATAAGAAAGAATTGTAACATTTCATCTAAACTCAATTATAAAGAGTTTCGATTATTCTTGTCGCCCTACTATCAGCAGCGTTGTACAATGGTGAGAAAGGTGGATTAGGGACCTGAAGGCAGTTTCGATTGTGCTCGTCAGTGATGCAACGTATGCAGCCCTCAAAAATCGACTCCAGGGATCTTATAGGCAGTGTGTCCGGGAAAGCAATTTCACTCTTGCTCACTTAATCCTATTCTCTACTTCTCCGGGCTCCTTCTAAAAAAGCGAGGAAATGGTAAGCAGTTCTTTCCGAAGCCCTTCAATTTTGTGACCTTAGAACAGGGGGCGAACTTGAATTTGGACGTGTAGAACAATCCTTCACAAGATTAAGACGCAAAGCCAGGGTGACTTTGCAACTGTAGCAATATGGCACCTTACTGCAGAGTGGGAAATCAACAGCTAGGCGAGTCCCCCGTATGGCATAAGTCATCAAACTCCACGAACAAGTTGCTCGCTTGATGGTGTGTACGAGGACATCCACTTCCACACTGCGCTAAGATGCCCGCATTCTTTGATTGAATTAGGTGTAGGATACTAGTCAATGTCCTTATCATGGAGCTGCGAGATGTAGATGAAATATCGACGAATTTATTTAGGAAATAAACTACTGTTGAAACTTGTAAGAACTGACTCAAATGACTCCTTGAAAAGACGTTTATTTTCGACCTTCTTTACCAACAGAGATGGGGCCATAAATAATACCATAATGAGAGCAAATTAGAAACCGAAGAAAGAAGAATTTTACAAAACATAAGGTGAGTTAATTTATGTCAAAACATTTTTTTCACAAATCGTCCGCGTTGCTTTTGTAAGACTTTTGAATAGCCGATTTTTCGTATTTTTATGCATATTTGAGCCCTCCAAAGGTTACATAGTGTCGTGATGATTTGAGGTTCGCTAACCCCAAGGCCAGATTCTGGTGAACGTTTCGTCATTGAACTGTAAAGTGCATCATCTCTGCTTCGCAGTTTCTCGTTCTAGTTCTACTAACCGTATGCCTTCCGCGCTGATTTTGACTCACTGCGCAATGTAAATTATCACGAGTCAATTGGAAACAACTACTCATACCCAACGCATTTCTACATAAGATCGATAACTTTAGGTAGAATCATCCGAGCAGATCTCGGCACGAGCAAACGCGATCATATTCGTATTCTCCGGATTGGCGGCGTGATGTATTTAGTGCGCAGCGTTACTCGCCTGGAGCAGCGGTGCCGCCGCCGTTCAAAATTTTGGGGACTGTAACTAAGCGGGGAGGAAGGGGTTTGAGGCGGTTTAGGAACCAATTTGTTGGATTTGGGAAGTAGATGCAATTTGTGTAAGAAGGTAAAAAGGTAAAGTATAAGGTAAAAAATTATGTGGGAGAGGGGAACTTTATGACTTTTCTTCCCAAGCCTTAGGTGCCTTCCAGGTGGCTTGAAAGCCACCTAACTCCGAAAAAAGTTAAGCACGCCTTCAGTTTATATAATTTCTTCATAATTTTCCATGCATAGTCATAACTCCTCATTGCCCATCTACACACCAATTTTGGCGTCATTTCGTTTTCACTTCGGTGTAAACAAGCCCTTTGTTTGTTTGGAAGAACATGCCGCCGGGGTGCCGGCAGCTTGCCGGCGGCACGCGGACCCCGTATCAAAAGATAGCGGTATGCTATTCCGCAAAACTATATTCCCTTACCTTTTCTCTCAAAAACTATATCCAGCGCTTAGTAACCCACCTGTGCCGTGCCTGCATCCAGAGAAGAACAGATGCAAATTCTAGTAAGGTACTGGATTTATTAATGACTTTATATTGCTGTGAGGACAATAACCGCCATGGGCTTAAACGCTGAGCAAAAATTTCCTGAAATCTTTGGGTGATTACTTGACAAATTAACGATCTACGCGATAATTCATTCCTGACGCCAATTTTGTTAGAAAGAAGGCCTACTAACTTATTTATAGACTAAAATAAATGGCGCATGCGCATTAAATGTCAAACAAATCTATGACATATCATTGTTTATTGTTGCATTATATTAGGTCGTTCCGAAAGTAATGTCGCTTTTTTCGAATGAACGCCACTATTCGTGAAATTAACGTTTTCAAGAGATCTTAGAAGCAATCGATGCAGCACTTCATCCTCTTTTTGATGATTCTAATTTCGCTGCATAATGTTATATGAGCTCTCGAAAAATTACCAAAATCTGCGACTCATGCTTTTTGCCATTGTCAAGTTCGGCTATTTTTCTAAATTTTTGTACCTATTCTCCGAAGATGTGCAAGTGACAGTTAGATAAAGCAAACCCTTTAGGATACAGGATAATTTTTCCTTCTCCTTAGCCTGCTTCTTAGAGTTTCTGGAATCAATTTTTCAATGCTATCAAATTGCATATTTCGTCAACTTAAACCACACAGAACAACAACCGGCAAGCAACTCGGGTGTCATTCGACGCAGCTTTTTCTCCTCTTTCTACTAGTTGTTTTTTGTTTCCGATTCATCAAGTTTTCCGAGATAAAATCATCATAATTCAACTTTTCCAAGCATCCCAAGGTGTACCCGGAATTTTCGAAAGTTGCTAAACCGAGGCGGTGAATGCTCGTTTGGTTTGTAAAATTGTTGCCAAACCATAATCCATCTTTGTAACTTTCAAAATCCGGAGACTTGCGCGTTTGATGCGCTTTTGCCTGAGACGAGCCTGCTAAAATTCGGTGGTTCCATCAAAAAATCTGTACAAAAATTATAACGAGCTCTGGAAAGTGGAAAAAAGTTGTGCTGTTTCCTGTAGGGTTTGCTCTATCCATCCACCATTTGGACTTCTTTCGAGGTTCGTTATAAAATTTTAGAAAAATTGTGAAACTTGGCCATCTCAAATAGCATAGGTCGCAAATTTTGACTTTTTTCTGGAACCTCATTGACCATATTGCAAGAACTTCATAACCGTTAGAAAGAGAATGAAATGCTGCATCAAATGCTACCAGAATCTGCTACAAAACTTTGTTGCACGAGATGTGGCATACGTTTGAAAAAAGCGACATTACTTTCGGAACGACCTAATATTTGGATCTCGCGAGTCCCAATCACATAAATTTAAGCGGGTCATTCATGCAGCAACTTGATAGCGAAGTATGTGAGCATCAAAAGGCAGTAACGGACTAAGGGCCATGACGAAGTGTGATAGACCTGCACAAACTCTAAAAAAAAATTGGCGTCAGCCACGCACCTTCATTTGAAAAAAGTTCTTCCCCTCTCCCCCCCCCCCCCCTCCCCGACGGAAATCCCGCAACCGCCACTGCCATAAGGGTAAAGGCTATTGCATGACGAAGGCGCAGAAACATTATTAGTTGAGCGGGCGCGAACGCGACGCGCGCTGTCTTCACCGTTGTAAATCCTGCGCCTCATGCGCTTTGCGGCTAATAAAGCCTCTTTCGCGCCCAAAGATATTGCGCCTTCGTCATGCAGCAGCCCTATATACATGTTCAATGTAACCTGCGATCAGAATGAGCGTGAAGTCAAGCGTAACGCTGGATCGATAATTGTCATACTCTCATCAAAATAAGTTCATTGATCATTGCAAAGATTGGATACGGTTGTGAACAGCATGCCTAATAAGTCTAATGCTGATGTTCCAGTTAGGCCAACCTTCGTTCCCTACCAAATACTAAAAAGTCTTCACCATGTGAAATGGGTATGTGAAAACCATTACCTGCTACAATTTTCCTACTTCCCAACATCTAAATACAGTCATTTTCAAAGATGTTAGTTTCAAGACGAAAACAATTCGGCTTTTCTATACTCGTGACAACGCAATAACCCTTACTAAATTATGCTAGGAATTTGATTGCATACAGTCGAGTAGATTTCCTGCTTAATATAGTGTCCCTGCAGACGCGACAACGCTGGGGCGTCAATAAATGCCTTGCGAGTTCCCGAGCTAGTGTATTCCAGTGTTTTGTCTGCTTATTTCATGCTTTTTAGTTGATTCGTTGCTCATAAAGAGGAAAAGGGTAAGTTAGAGTGTAGTTTCTGTTTTCAGAGAAGTTCTATCACCGCATATTCACAGATATCCGCGTGGAAGCATTTCGCGTCAGTTTCTTGTCTATTTTTTTTGTCATTTCCTTTTCTTCTGTCACTTCTTCTTTCAAACCTCTTCCTTCTTGCGAGGCGTTTCTTTGAAAGCTAGTTGGCTTGCCTTGCAGCAACTTCGGCTTTCATCCACAAGAAATAGCATTTTAATCAAGTACTTCATGTGATAAAGGCAATAGGTCAATCGTAAAACCCACTAGCGTTCAAAGGAGTACCTCACAAGATGAAAGAGACATGAAGTGACAAAAAATAGACAAGAAACTGACGCGAACTGCTTCCATGTGGATATCTGTGAATATGCCATGATAGAACTTCTCAGAAAACAGAAACTACACTCTAACTTACCCTTTTCCTCTTTATCAGCAACGAATCAACTAAAAAGCATGAAATAAGCAGAGAAAACACTGGAAAACACTAGCTCGGGAACTCGCACGGCATTTATTGACGCCCCAGCGTTGTCGCGTCTGCAGGGACACTATATTAAGCAGTAAATCTACTCGACTGTACCATTCTCTAGTGGATCCAGAGGGTGTGCCCAAAATTCCAAACACAGCGTTTTTCACATTGAGTGCTTTCGCTCCATGGACCATCATAAAGCCAAGGCTAGTCAAAATAACCTCAAATACTCAATATGTAATTCAATAGGTATGTGCTAACAACTGACTTAACAATTGATTGAAAAAGGTTTTTTCGAAGATAAAGTTAGTGTGGTCAGGCACTACCTTTCAAAAGGTCAGGCTGCCTGAGCTTTTGTAACCTTGTGCCTGACCCACTTGACTTACCTTCACAGTCCAAAAACCGCTCCATTTTTGTTATGACAATAAGCTTGAAACCTGTTCTTGAAACAGCAATAATTTGGCCCT